AAGAAAAAGAAGCACAACACAATGCTTAAAGTATGGTCCCATTTAAGAAACTGTGTGTCAGAGTGTGTTTATATTGGCATACAGAAAAAAAATCTAGAAGAAAATATTCCAAAATGCTAAGAGTAATTATTTCTTGATGATAGGCTTATGGGTGATTTTCTTTGTATACATTTCTGTACTATCTTTTTTCTTTTTCTCACAATGAGGATGTATTTTTCAAAAGTGAAAAAACCTTTAAAATATAAAATTTAATTGCATCGGTGAATATTGATTTAAAGCAGAATGTCTTTAGTGTGACAGATCTCACTTGTACTGCAAGATAACTAATTATAAAGGATACTTCCCAAATGTGGAATGACAGTTCAGATGGCATGATTTGCTCTTTGGCCAGCGCTGAATTATGAGAGTCAGACAAAGTATGTGCCTAGGGCATCAGCAAAGAAGAGGAGACACCCTCAAATTAGAATATTTTGAAGAAAAGTATTTGATTTTTGATAGTTCAGAAAAGTGTAAGAATATTTGTCCAGGGAAAATATCATAAAAATGTTGAACTTATGTACACTTATTTATGATTTAATATCATTTTCATTTTTAAGAACATGTAGGTGGAGAGATGCTTAGGACATTAAGGTAGGAGGTACGGCTAACTTTTTTCAAGGTCCAGGACCTATAGGAATCTTAATTTGGTCCTAAGCACAGAAAAAATTTATGTTACCTCCCAACCTGCATGTCATTAAAAATAAAAAACAATACTTAGCCATAAAATAAGTGCACATCAGTCCAAGAAAGTCCTGATTTTTCCCCAGACAAACGCTTCTATGCTTTTCTGAAATAGCAAGAATCCCATATTTTCTCCAAAATAATTTTTGTGTGCACCATTTTTTTTTGCCTGATACCCTAAGCATACACTTACTCTATCTGGCAATTCAATATGACCAAAAAGCAAATCATGGCATCTGAAATATCCAAAAATTCAAATAAAAATGAGCCACACAACGCAGATTTACTGTATGTGATATTTTAAAATTCAAATCAGTGAGATAATTTGTTAAATTTTCCAATACAGCAGATTTGGGCTCATGAGATTCAGAATCCAGGCCTGGTTAGATCATTTACCAAACCTAAACTTGGATAAGTCTAACCTCTCTAAGCCTGTTTCCACATATTTAAAATAATTATGATGATACTAGCTTTACTGGCATGATAGAAATTTGAGGAATATAAGATGAAAAGTAAAGAATGTAAAATGACTTTGAGAACTACAAAAGATTATATTAATATAAGGTGTAACGATAGTACAAATTACAACTATATTGTTTCCATCATTACTATCTCACGTGTGTATACTTTACATCCCCCAAGGAAATTCTATGTCGCTTGCATATGCAAATTGTGCTAGTCATATAAGAGCTCTACAAATAGTTATTTTTCAATTGACTAATTCATCTTATTTGAAAACACGTTTTCACTTGGTAAAATAATATAGTTGGGATGTGCAAACAGGGGGAATTGCAAATGACCTCTCAGAGTAACCCAAGTATAAATCTAGTTTATTTATTTCAGTGAAAACCAACTGTTGAGTTATTTATGTCAAAACTTCCATGACAAATCTGGTTTTCTTTTAGGTTCCAACCATGGAAAGCAAAGCATTAATCGTTTTATGAACCTATGAGAAATGTAGAAAACAGTTTTGACTCTCCAGATATTTTCTAAGTCACCCTGATGGATGAAGCATGTACATAAAATTGAAATATTTTCTGAAGTCACTTGAAGAGATAAGAAACATCCTATCACAAAGTGAGAAATTAGACAATGTGTGTTTTACTCCAATTAAACAAGTTTTACTAAAGTGTAAATACAGGTCCAAATATTTAATATTCCAACAAGAACAACATCTTCAAGTTAGTGTTCGAGAAAAAGGTAATTAATAAAATGTTTGTTGTTAAACGGCAGATTTAAATAATAACTTGTATGTATCTTTCAGACACTTGGTTTTTTCTGATATCACCTTGATGGCTCTTGAATTATTTTGTATCTAGACCCCACTAAACCCCATTTTATCTTCCAAAATTAGCCATACCAAAAGGAATAATTTTAATATGGCTATTAGGCATCACATGCCATGAAGCTGCTGAGAAAGGACTCTTATGAAGAGGCCAGTGTTCAGTTTCCTGCATCCTGACAAGATGACATATAAATTTCTCCAAGCAGACGGTCAATCGATTTCTTTAAAAATATCCAGATTCTGTAATTTAGAAGCCCATTACAAAATGGAGTCTTACTGTTATAGGTTTAGAAGTACCTGATGTTAAACAACTAAATCACACTCTTACATGGACAATTTACTCTAGAAAAAACAAGAGAAGTTTTTGAGAAAGAAATCTAGTCCATCCCAAATAAATGCATGTCTAGGTCATACTTTTGGAAGTTTTGATGAAAGAGGAATGCACTGCCTTATCTGGTTACCCAGTTCACAACTCAAATTTGCTATCAGGAAGTTCCACATTTTGTTTCTAATCTTCATTCTTCCTAATGAAGTTGAAGTCTACTGACCATATTTTAGGTTCCAACAAATAGCAATAAGCAATGCCCTATGTAAAAACTCTCAGCTCTTCTGAAGCAAATGATTGTCATCTCCCGGTTTTCTCTTCTCCAAATGAAATAATCCTAGTTTCCTTATCTTTTCTTAGAGAGTTCAATCTGTGGTCCTGTAAACATACTTCACTTTTCTGTGGCCCCTCAGCACAGGCCATATAATCGTCTCAAGTTGTGGGATCAAAAACTAGACCTGTATTCCCATCAGGGTCTAACTACATAGCTGAAACATGCTACTGATAGTTCTATGCCCATGGCCTACAGTGATTTGCCTCTGCTCAAACTGTATCAACTTCATCTATAAAACCACATCCCAATGAAAACTCAACACAAAGGAAATAATACAAAGCCCCAAGATATCTGTTTTCATTGCATGAAACAGGGTCAACTACAATGTGTCTTAATTTTTTAAAGCTTACTGTAGATGGATCTGAAATTTTAATTTTTGGAAGTCAAAAGTTAACATTAAAAGATTTAAGATGCAGTGTATTATAAAAATTTTGATATGGCATACAAGCCCAGTAACTCTTTCCTTGCTCTACTTTATGTAGTTGTTATAATTAGGCAAACGGTAGCATGACTTTACAGAGTTGTGAATCTATATAATATATGACATGCCTTGAGCATATTAAATCCATTCTTCCCATTAAGTCGCTGAAAAGCCTCCCCATATATAAACTAAACAGGACATTTATTCTCAGAGAAATTAAACTATAAATCTGATTCAAATACACGCAAAAATTTTAAATGAAGGGGGGCAATGTGTAAAATAAAATGCAAGACTAAAACAAAAAATACTGTTATTTTACATGGTAAAAATTGTTTGCACTGACAATGATATTGTTATAGAAAAGATAGATAATACTAGTGCGTATGATGAATATAATATTATTAACACACTTTTACCTGCACGGATTTTTCTGGCTTTAATTCAGTGAAATCCATTACCCTGGGTGGTAACAGAGCCCTGTACCCTACTCATCTCAGGCATCTTTAGTCTCCGGAGCTGCCTGAAAGCCTTGAGATAATAAAAGGTCAAGCAGACCCAGAAAGCATTTGTAAACTACAATAGCCCCCCATTTCAGCTACAAGCCACACATTCTTGTGCTAAGCTTTGCTCACTCTCTTGTTTCATTTCATTTCATAAGCAGGCTAATTTGGAAATGGCTAGGGTACTTGGGAACACCTAGATTTTCAAAACAATCCCACTTTCCTACTTAACCACCTAAAGAAGTAGACCCCTAATACAACATTTGTGAGAACTGTAAAATGGTGCCTGGATACTGAAGGAATGAACAGCAAATAGCAGCACTATTAAATAAAATGAATGCATTTCACCTTCCAGCTCGTCTGTGCTTCCTGGGACACAAGGCACAAACATGAAAGGGTTGGGGTAGAATTTCAAGAAAACTGATGTGTTTCAACATTCATTTGGCAAAATACTGGACATAATACCACAAGCCACCACCCTTTCCCATCATTGTAAATTCAGGGCTCTCAAATCACCCTCCACACACCCAACCAAAAATAAAGAAAAGGGGCAGGCTATGAATTCGCATCTAGGGCTATGATACAGATTAAATGACAGGCACCTGTCCTAATTGGTCACAAGGAAACTAAGGGACAATAATAAGAAAAAAAACTCACATTAATCCAAATGAAGCCAATGAATAATAATACAAACCAGAAGCACGGTTTCAAAAATATGCAATTACCTCCAAGCATGCAAGGGCATTTATAACCCATAAAAATGACTGCAAAGCACATTCTGCATATAAATATGTTTCATAAATGCATTATAAATGCTAAGTAACATGTGTCTATATGATATGCATATCCATAGGGTATACATTTATATGTTCACAATCAACTCTATGTACTAAAAATGAAACTCTGTATCCGGCAAATGGTTTCTCAACAAGAGTACATTAGGATATGAAATAGAATGCTAAATTCTGGGGCCACCTTTTCTTAGCAATGAAGGAAATAAGCAAAACCACCTTATAATTAGGCCGGGAAGCTTATAAGGCACCAATTGTGTTTTTGAGGAAGGCCCAACCCCATATGTGAGAGCTGCAAATGAAATGATTCCTTTCAACAACACCCATTTCTTAGCTCTTTTTCTACCCAATTCTGTTGCTAAGCTTGTAAGGAAACCAAGTGGCTCAGTCTGCATTCTGAGCCAGTTCAAGATAAAATCAGAACACCAATTTTTTTTTTTTTTTTTACACAAGCGGATGCCTTCTTACTTCTCTCCCTGGCAACCTTCCTCTCCCTCCATCCCCATCTCTGTCTCCACATCTTTCTATCCTGGAGTCATTGTTCAAGTGCAGGCCACAAATGTATACACAGGTCATTTAACAGCCAGCTAAGCCAAGAAGATAGACCCGCTGTCTCCTACTCACCATGCTGAGACCCGGAGAAGCGGCTGAAAGGAGAGAGAGATGCAAACTGAATCCATTTTCCTTGTGACCGAGTCGGATGCAGCCTCCGAACCCAACATCAGCAGCGGCTGCTGGGAATTTTTTTTCCCTCCTTCTCTGGTTGGCGATGGTGCGAATAGGAACCACCCTTCCAGCTCCACTAGAGTATCAGCAGTCGAGGCGGCAGAAGCAGCAGCATCACCACTTGGCCTCCTCCCTCTCGGAGGATGGGGTGAGCTCAGAAGCAGCCAGGAACTTGCAGCAGACACCTCCTCTGGCTCCTCCTCTCCCGCCCCCTCCCCCACGGCCCCACCCCTGCTGCGGTAGAGGCCGCCTGCCCCGGCAGCTGCTGGTTGTCATGGTAATGACCAATGGTAGGCTACCAGACTGAGGGGGAGGGGAGGTGGAGGAAACAAGCTGTGGGGTCGGGAGGGCAGTGAATTTGTGCTGCTGCCCTCTGTGACGCTGTTGGTCTCTTCTACCCCGGATTCTGGGTCTTGAAAAATGGGGCAAGGGTGTATAGGCGTGGGAAGAGATTAAATTTAATCGAAATCTAGACTGAAACATATAAATAGCTTAGCTATTTTTTGCATTTTCTATAGTCTTCCGAGAAAATGTATTAAATTTTCAATCAGAAAAAATAATAGCAAATATGGAGAAAATCATGTCGTGTAATAGGAGATTATTATTACTCCAATTATGTTTGTCCTTTGTAGCATCTTGAACTCAGTGCCACTCAAGGTTGTCAAAAAGCAAAGAGAGTGGCTGGACAGTGCAATAAAATAAGTCTGTTTGATTTCTTGGCACTACTCTCTGCTTGTTCTTCTCAGGTGAGTCACTTGGTTTCACTGTTTTTCCAGCTCTGAAGAGGACCCAGAGGTATTTGGCACTCCCCTGTGGAAAAGGAAGTTGGAACTGAGGAAGCAGAAATTCCTTGAGCAACCACAGTTGTCCGTAGCGCCAGTTGGTGGATAGTTCCAAACGTCTTTAGTGTCAAACTCCCGAAGCGTTCAGTTGCCTGCAGGAAATTCCATGCCATTTTCATGGATGCTCTTGGAGTTCCCAGCCAGTGGTAAGTAGGAAAAAAGGAAGTGAAATCAGCAGTCTTGAGTTCTAGGTAAATTCTGTCTCTCTACTATAAATTATAGATGACACTGGTATTTATCTCATGCAATAGTTGTAAAGACTGAATGAGATAATGCACTAAAAGCCCTTGCGTGTAGTACGCATACAGTAAACGTTTACTATTATTACTAATAGTAGTAGTAGTAGTACATTGTAGCCACTTCTTTAATTTTTTTTTTTTTTTAAAGATTTTATTTATTTTATTTTTTTCCCCCCAAAGCCCCAGTGGATAGTTGATAGTTGTATGTCGTAGCTGCATATCCTTCTAGTTGCTGTATGTGGGACTCGGCCTCAGGATGAACGGAGAAGTGGTGCCTCGATGCGCACCCGGGATCCGAACCCGGGCCACCAGCATCGCAGCGCGCGCACTTAACCACCAAGCCACAGGGCCGGCCCTGTAGCCACTTCTTAATCCAAGGGATTAAGGGAATTGCATGGCAATTTCAGAAAAGGGAAAAAATTAAGGCGAGAAAACAATACCTAATAATTGGGATGAAGATGATGATGGCAAAGACATGGAGGCCCTGAGAAACTAAAAGTTCTCTAAAATGAGACAGTTGAAGATATTCTAAGTCTTAAAGGAGTTAGATAAATTTCTCCAATTCACACAGCTAGTAAATGGTAGGGCCAGAATTGAACCTCTGACTCTTCTCACACTAGCGTTTGCTCTCCTAACCACTTCAGTTTCCTGCCATTCCTCTGTGGAATGGAGATACTCTGTTCTTAACCCATAAGGTTAAGGTTTATAGGTTCAAATGGGATTAGGACAAGTTTCAGAGTCAGACGGCCTGAGGTCCATTTCTGGGGCCGGTATTTACTATAGACATGATTTGGGACACGTAATTAACTTCCCTGAACCTATGTTTTTGGAAATAATCATAGAACCTCAGAGAGTCATTGTGAGAATTAAATAGAATGATGTATGTAGAACATTAGAACGATGTCTAGCACATAGTAAGTGTTCCATAAATGTTACCTGTAATTATTTGTTACTCATTCTTAAGTAATTAATATGAAAATGTGAGAGGACTTTTTCCCACATAGGCTCACCCTTGATGCCGGGGCCTGACTCCAACAAAACTGACTTGAAGGTAATTAGGTGGTCAGGGAAAGGGTCGCAGCTCATCCTCAGCCTTGGCATTGCTTCGGGGTCCTCTCCAAGGGAGAGCCTGCATCCTGCTCTGCACAGACAGTGGCCCCTGCCTCCCTGAACAATCACACAGTCCACACACACTTCCACAGCAGTGTCCCCTAAATGCAGTTGTGTGACATAAAGGAATGGGTGTGTTGATCTCGCTTCTTTTTGTATTCTCCATATTTCCTCTTCTGCTGTCTCCACAGAGGTGGTATGTAAGTGAGCAGAGAAGAAAGCTGCAGGTTGTGGAAGCTCAGACGTGTTTAGGTGACAGAATCCTCCCCGCTGGCCTTGTGAAGAAGCATTTCATCTTTAGCACCAAGAGCTGACTTGGTTGGCGGGAGTGATTCTAGTTTTCTCTCCTCCCATCAATGCAAGCGGAATCAATTGGGGGAGAGAAAAGTGTCTGGTGTTCCCTATTTGAACAATTCCCCAATTTAGCCATCCAAATGCTACTCTCCCGTTTTTTTGTCATATCCATGCAGCATTGTTATCATTATTTAATAATAGTTTTCTTTAGATATTTAATTACTTATTATTTATTTTTACTTACTTTAATTATTGGTTATTTACTTTAAAATGAAATTCGTCTCTGGCTTCAGCAGAACATAAATAAAAATAGGCATGGCAAAGAGAGTAGCCCCAGAGAAAGGAACTTAAAGCAAAATTGTACGTATATTTTTAGTAAAACAGATGTTTCAACTTTATTTGTAATGATTTTTAATTTTATAATTTCATTCCTTCTCTCCATTGCCATTCACTCTCTTACCATGCTTTATTTTTCCATACTATTTATCATCTTCTAATATACTATATTATTTATTTGCACTTTAAAATTTTTTATCAGTTTCTCCCCTCTAGAATGTAAACTATAAAAGGGCAGGGATTTTTGTTTGTTTATTTGTTAATAGTACTGACCCATATTAGGTGCTCAATAAATATTTGTTGAATGAATAAACCAGTGAATAAATAAAATATCAACAACTTCTACTTTGAAGCATGGCTATATAAGTTATTATTATAATATTATTTGTCTAGTTATATTATTTTTGATATTTCTCAAAATCAAAAAGATAATTACAATAATTATCTTATTAGCATACATGCACATTAGTATAATGTCTATCTAAAACATATTTTAAAGATACAAAGCTGTTAAAATGGAAATGCTTGTCCATGCATATTCAAAGTCATCTAGCATATCACCAGTGGTATGCGTGGTGTTCTTTGGGAAATACTGATGTTGTTGTAAGACCGTCTTCTCCAGAAGTACTAACAGTGACCAGACTATCTTCCTCTCCTGGGGCCTTTCCGACTTTGACTTCTGAATTCTATGAGATGTCTGACAAAGTACAGGGTGTGTGTATTGACTCCAAAAGCAGCATTAAATTTTCAGGAGAAACCACAGCATAATGGGAGGAAGCTGCAAAGTGTGGGCTCTGGAGACAGACTGCCTACATTGAGTTCATGCTTCACCATTTGTTTTCTGAGTGACCTTGGGCAAGCTGCTTAATTTCTCTGTGCCTCAGTTTCTTCATCTGTACGACATAAGAGCAGTCCCTACTTCATTGGGTTGTTTTGAGGATCAAAGTTCACGGTGCAAAGAGTTAACAAGTATTTGGTATGTCATAAAGGATAAATAATATTAGCTAATATCATTATTAATATAATTGATAATAACTATGGTTATGCATAGCACATTTTTCTGGCTGTTTCCAAAACACTCAGATCACTCAGGGTTATTCTAAGAACTTGTTTTTATGACTGCAGACCAGCTTTCAGCAGACTATGAGGATTTCTGGAGATGTTTATCTCAGAGATAGGCCAACGTGTGAATTTGCCCCCAAAAAGGGAGGAGCTTAGAAGTGACTGTTGTTTATTTCCTGTCTACTCTATAAGATACTATTAATATATTGTATATTTACAGAGAACATTAAATGTAAGCAGTCAGGATCTTCTCAAGTTCACTAAGAATAAGGATATCATTCTGACCTCAGTGCATGTTCTTTATCAATAGTATCAGTGAGAAAGGATATTAGAAAGAGACCTTTCCCATGAACTCTACACTCCTATGGCCAACCATCTGATGGATGGCTCTTGGCACAGCAGGTGGAAACTTTTGCCTTTGCTCATCCTGTTTCCTCTGGAAATCCATTCCCTGCCCCAGCTTTTCAACCTTCAAGATTTATCCATCACCACCTTTAGAGAGTCTTCACTGATACCAGAATTAGCATTAAAACTGAGGTTTGCATTTTCCCTTGTCACTCATCATGTTGAATGATAAATATTTTTTTCTTTGCCTTTCTCTCCTGTTTGATTGTAAACACTTTGAGGTCAGGGATATACTGTTTATTCATTTATTGATACATTAATCTAACAAATATTTATCGCTAGCTGTTACCGTATACTGTAGTAGGTACCAGGGCTCTAGCTGCGAATAAGATAAAATGAGCACTCTCTTCATGGAGCTTATCATCTAAAAGCAAAGAGAGGCTACATAATTACTTAGAATAAATTACTCTTAGAACTACAGGAAGCTCTGATAGTGTATAAGGGGAGGATATAACTGAGTTTGGGAGCCGAGGGAAGATATTGCTGGAGGCATTGTGGGGAGGGTGTGGGGGCAGGCGGTATTAGACAAAAGGAAGGAAATGTATGCAGGTGCTGAGATGTGGAACAACATGGCATGTTACTCAATTTTTGTTTAAAGCTTGTACCATAGTACCTGTGCACATTATGTGCCACTTACATGTTTGTTAAAAGAATCTGCCTCCCCTTCCCAACACACATAAACACACAACTTCTTTCCTCCATATTTCCCTTCTGTTAACTTATTTGCAGGACTAGAGTTTATTGATATCTGAGGAGCTAACAGGCTGAATGGGATGAGAAAGCATAAAGAGAGGCCAAAAGATTAGTTGTTCTTACGGTAGAAAAAGAAGTGTTATGCTAACAGTGACCACTGCTCCATTACACATTTATTAAGATTTTTTGTTGTTGT